AGAACGTGCACTTCACTTTGTGGCATAGGATATGCATTTCACATATGTTGTTGTAAAATGTGCATCTCACGGGAATTGTATGTACGCCTTGTATTTTCTTTTCAATCATGCATAGAATATGTTTATGATTTTGTTTCTTGCATAGAACATGCCATTAACATTGTATCTCGGTTGTTTGTCTCACGAAGAACATGCATTCATAATGCATCGCGTTTGTTAAGTCTCTTTCCTTCACATGCATGATATTGTATGTACGGTTCATTCAGAGGAGCTCCAGGCAAAATCATTCATACCCTTCGGACCACATCCTTTCATCTCTTCCTCTTTTTGTGTGAGATGTATTAGGATTGCTTCGGCTAAAAACATTCGGGTGTGTCCCGGTGTTCACACCAACCCTTCAGTTAAAAACATTCAGGTGCGTCCCGAAAATTCAATATTTTGCTTCTGAAGTAGAGTAGTGTTGATCTGGAGGAGGAAACTAGTGTAAGTGTTCTGCAACAGAGGCAATTAGTGGCAGACAGTGGATGTTCTTCGAGTGAAAAATCGAGCATGCATGCGTCCCTCGTTTCCCGAGGCCATTTAGTTAATTTGCTTAGTTAATTAGTTGTAGCTAATTCATGCAAATGTTGTAACTATTTAAGTAGATTAGTTAATTAATTCGTGTTGTAATTAATTAGCTTAGTTGCTTTATAATTAATTAGTTAAGTATTTAGCTAATTAGTTTGCTTTGTAATACTTAATTAGCTTAGATAGTTAATTATTTAATTGTAATAATTAATTAGCTTAGAATAGTTAGTTAATTCATTTCAAGTGTTATAATAATTAGTTAAATAATGTAGCTTAGCTAGTTTCATTCGAACCCTCCTTCGTGAGGGCGTAATGTTGTAATAAGTGTGCGTGGGTGCATATATGTCTTCCAACCCCACGTATTTCTCCCTTTTATTTAAATCACTTTTGATGGTTAGATTAGGAACATCATGTTTTAATTAGCACACCTTCTGATTGCATCCATTCATCTCGTATTGCATGCACCGAGGCTCAGCACATCATTCAAACTGTATTGTTGTTTCAATATCTTATTTGAATACGTGTTTAAAAGGCATGTTATCAAATTGCTTCATATGCCATATTAGTAGTCGAGCCTATTAATTGCATATCGCATATGTTGCATTAGGCATCTTGTATAGTTAGGAATCATGCACATTTTTCTAACACATATTTTCTTAGCTTGGAGTACTAGGTGAGTTTTTATGCTTTAGCATACTTGCATGAATGTGAATGTTGCCATGTCTAGCATGCTTGCCATGAGGCTAAATGCTTATTTGATAAACTGCTTGAATGCCTGTGGATGAAGGCGTGTTGTTTGAATTGGAACGATTCAACGAATATATGTTTTAAAGCCCACTTTGTTGAGTGGCAAATCATGTTTTAAGCCCACTATGTTTGGTGGCAAATCCGTAAACTTTTAAGCCCACTTGAGGTGAAAAATTCAAACCATTTTCGCAAAAACAAACATGAGTTAAATTGTTCCAAACAGAGAAAACTACTCTATACTTGCTTGTGCGCATCACATAGTAGAACTAGCTTAATAACCGAAACAAGAGCACATAATGTTTATAAAAAATCATATCATGATTAGTAGAGGCCGATCTTTGATCGGGCGAGCAGGGGGTGCTCAATTCATGACCTTCCCCTCTCGTACCTAAGTTTCCGAGCTAAGGCAACTTTGGTGATGACAGATACGTGGCCTTTGGCACAAGTCATGGGTTTCCTAAATTTCTCCAAAAATAAAATATTTAGGTGGCAAATTTGTATCTGGCAAAGCAGTCCAATTTTGGCACTTTTTGATTCAAAATCAATTTTCCAAAACGATTTGCCGGATTTGGACTCTTTGGTGTTTATCAATTTCACATTGTACTTGTGAGATTAGATTCAGAACCACGAGAGTCCGAACTATAGGGCTTCTTTTCGAGCTTCCGAAAGGGAGCGCGAAAAAGCCGAGCTACAACTATGCCATAAGGACTGTACAAATTGAACTGACAATCTCGATTTCTTCGTTTCTTGAAATAACACTATATCTACCCTTTCTCTTTAAGTATAGCCTTCACTTTTCTTCTTTTTTCAGGTCTATTCAACCCTCTGACATTCCAAGATATAATCTTCATGATAACCAATCAAAACACCTATGCCATCCATAAGTGCTGCCTTATTGCTCAGCATTTTCCCTCCGTAATTCCCATCTTTCTGGATCTTTCTCCTTCATTTCCATGATTTTGTTAGCCATATTTGAATCTTTCGCTTCATAGTCAATCCCTAATGATTTCCCCATCTGTATCGTAGCCATAGCTTCACTAACCAGGTTTCTTTTACGAAGTGAATTGCTGGAGTGTGAAAGTGAAGAAGAGAGTGAAGCTGCGGCTGCCCTGAAAATTGCACCTCTTTGAAAACCCATCCTTGTCCAGATTTCTTGCTTTCCCCTTCTTCCATTCTTTGCCCTTCCTCTACTTTCTGAACCACAAAAGGACTTGGTGACCCCTCTAAGCTGGCCCTGGGAAGTACAAAGTTTGCTGGACGATGAGCCCAGCACATCATGCCTAAAGCTTTGCGATTGGTGGGCTGAGGTAGAGGACACAGTTGTGTTGATCCAATTTTGTTTATATGTCTAGACTTCACACACCTTACCTAGCCCATCATTAACCAACATAGGCTTGCTTAAAACACAACTTCAAGATTGATCTTGGGCCTATCTATGTCTGGTCCATTTAGGCTTTGAATGAATCTAGGTGGACTAAAGCATTCATCAGCTCTACCTTTGCCTACATCTGACCCACATACTGAGTCCTCCACCAGGCATGCGCTGTTGTTTACTGCATTGTTCCAATTTCCCATGTTTAGACACGTCTCATTGACCTTGGAAACCGAGTGTGAGGTATGGGATTTGACAGCTTCTAGATTTTCCAATCTACCTTGGATTACCTTGGACTCCACCTTGTCACCGACGGCCACAGTCTGGTCTTCTCCTTCACCATGAAACTGGTTCTCCACTTCTTTGTTAATAGAGATAGCCTCCCTGAATCGACTACCTTCATATAAACATACACCATTGCAAGCTGTAGTTACAATTTTCTGTTCTTCGCATATTCAGATCGGAAATAAACACCCATTGCACTCCAAATTTATAACTTTATTAATCAGATCCATATGTGATATTGCAATACGAATCTTTTTACATATTAAAGATATCATGGCTGATGTGCTTTCATCAATGGTTGTCACTGCACCCTAGATTTCACCAATTCTGGTAAATGTGATGTTGTTCCACAGATTTAAGGGCACACCGCAACAGCTTAGCCATATATGCCTCTCATGTTCCATTTGTAAGCCTTTCCTCCATTCTATTGTGGAATCACACCAGTCATTCATCCAATCCCCCAAGATGTGGCTCCTATGTTTCATGTCATCAATTGAATTAAAAGTTACAATGGCCTCTCTACCTCCTCCTTCACATAGCTGAATATTCTTCAAATTTCTACCCCAAACTCCTTTCTGAATTCCATGAATGAGCAGTGAGCCTTAAGTTTGACGATTATACTCTGGTACAGCCAGCCATTACCGACTTCAATGGCTTTAATTACAACATCTGTTTTATTAATTCCTTCACCTTTTACCACCTCTGCATATGATCTGCTTCCTATACGCTTTGAACCATTTTCCATCATCAGTGCCTGTGGTCTGTGTGGCATCTGCTCCTTTACAGCCTTCTCCTGAGTCTTGTCAAACTCTGCTTTCTTAACAATTAGTGATCGGTCTTCACACCAAATCCCATTTGCTTTTTGGATAGCTATTTGAGATGCCACTAAGCAATCAAACCTTACAAACCTAAACCTTGACTGCGTTGTTTTCTGTCTTTTGTTCAGTATGAAAACATCATTAATGATTCCAAAATTGTTAAAGAGATAGAAGAGCCCCTTAGGATCCATTGATTCCGGGATGTTATCTACGAACAAGGTGTGCATACCTGACCTGACATTACTCCTTCGCCACTGTCTTCGTTGAAAAACCGGTATCCACCCTCCCTCTCTTCTTCGTTCTTCCATGGCTCTCCTTAAGTCTCTTTATAACTTGAGTAGCATTTTCCATTCTTACCATGTTTGTACTTGATAGACTTTGATTTTCTTCATTTATAATTAATGTTAGGAAAATGATATATAAATCCCTTTTTTAGATCTATTTTTTAGACCAAATGATATGTAAGTGACATGATTAATTGATAATTAGAGAAGATATGAGAGAAAGTATTATTTTTAATATCTTAATTGATTGCCACATTATTGAACTTGAAAAGTGGATCTAATTTTTGATCTTCAATAATAATACTCTTAATACCAAGAAAATCTCGTAACTAAATACTAACACAATTCATAATTAGTACTAACAAAATCTCATAACTAAACACTAACACATAATTCATAATTAATACTACAAATACTCAAAAAAAAAAAAAACAAACAAACAAACAAACAAACAAACAAATTACCTACCATAAAATTTTGGTGGATTTACATATAGGTCATATTATGTGAACTTATTATTCAATAGGCCTTATGATAATTAACTGCATTTTTCATCAAACACTATTAAAAACGTCATTAATTGTTAATTTTTAGCAAGAGTTTAAATTTTTTTTACAAAAACGTTACTAATTATAAGTTTTAGCGACTGTTTAAAAAAATATCACAAAAAGTCACTATTTTTTAACTTTTAGCGACAGTTTGAAATATTCATCACAGAAAAACATTCCTAATTGTAAGTTTTAGACATAATTTATAAAAATCGCGATAAAAAAATATTACTAATTGTCAATTTTTAGCAATAATTTTATTTGAATTAATTTTCAATAAGACTCAATAAGAATTAAGTCCAACTATTAAAACCTATTAAAAATTTATCCTAAAAGTTTTCCTATATAAAGGAATGAATTGGACTAATAAATCAGTTCCCACTTTCTCATCGTTCTCCTCTTAACTCTCGTACTTCATTCTCCTCTTTTACAAATAAAAAATGGAGCGATTGATATGGTTGTTCCAATTCCTTTTGTTTTTCATGCAATATCATCAGGTTTCTTGTTCATCATCTATCTCTTCTTTTTCTACTTGTACACATCATTTGTGTCCACCTGACCAGAGGTTTGCATTGTTGCAATTCAAGCATATGTTTACTATAAACAGCTCTGCATCTGATTCTTCTTTCTGCGGTGATTTGGCTTCTCCAAAGATGTTATCTTGGAACGAGAGTTGTACTGATTGTTGTTCGTGGGAAGGAGTCACGTGTGATGGTATGACAGGTCACGTGATTGGGCTTGACCTCAGTTGCAGCCAGCTCTATGGCAGTATCCATCCTAACAGTAGCCTCTTCCAACTCTCTCACCTCCAAAACCTCAATCTCGCCTTCAATCACTTCAATTACTCCCACATTCCATCAGCATTTGGTCACTTTGCTAGTTTGACACATCTGAACCTATCTTATTCCAGTTTTTCAGGCTCAATCCCATCAAAAATTCGCCACCTGTCCAAACTAGTTTCGCTCGATCTCTCCTCTGGTAGACCACAACTAAGACTTGAACCGCACAATTTCAGAATGATTCTCAAAAACCTAACCCAATTGCAAGAACTTGTCCTTTCTTATGTAAACATATCTTCAGTTGTACCGATGTCTTTGACGAATATGTCTTCTTTGACATATCTCGATCTTACTTTCACCGGGTCGCATGGGAAATTACCGGATAGCATTTTTCACCTTCCAAACTTGCAAATTCTCTTTTTAGGAGGCAACCATGATCTCACTGGTAATTTACCCAAAGTAAATTGGAGTAGTAGTAGTTCCCTCGAGACGTTGTATCTTGGGTCTTCGGGTTTTTCTGGATACTTTCACCGGGTCGCATGGGAAATTACCGGATAGCATTTTTCACCTTCCAAACTTGCAAATTCTCTTTTTAGGAGGCAACCATGATCTCACTGGTAATTTACCCAAAGTAAATTGGAGTAGTAGTAGTTCCCTCGAGACGTTGTATCTCGGGTCTTCGAGTTTTTCTGGAGAATTACCTGATTCAATTGGCTATCTCAAGTCTTTGAATTACTTGGATCTCAGCGATTGCAAATTCTCCGGGTCCATTCCTGAATCACTCGGGAACCTTACACAGATCAATTATATATCCTTCTGGGAAAATAGTTTCAACGGTCAGATCCCATTTACTCTCTCAAATCTTAATCAGCTCATTTCCTTGGATCTTTCTAGAAATAATCTCCATGGAAAAATTCCTAATTTTATCAGTAAGCTGATAAAGCTGGAGTTTTTAGGACTTGGAGATAACAATTTTAATGGTCCATTTCCATGTGGGGTAGCCAACCTGACAAAACTTAGTATTTTAGATATATCAAGTAGTGCAGTGATGGGTCCCATTCCCTCCATCATGAGTGGGCTACACAACCTACAAGCACTTCACTTGCACAATAACTCACTGAATGGGACACTACCATCTTGGTTGTTGAATCTTCCATCATTGACAGAATTAGACCTGGGTAGTAATCGACTAACTGGCCAAATTCCTGAGTTCCAGCATAAATCAAAATTGATGTACATTGACTTGAGTCATAATGAACTACATGGCCCCATTCCACAATCAATTTCAAATCTTGTGAATTTGACCGAACTTGTTCTTTCGTCAAATAATTTTAGTGGTGTTGTGGAGCTAGAAACATTCTTAAATCTAAAAAATCTTGATAGTCTTGATCTGTCATACAATATTCTGTCAGTGAGCACCATCAACAATATCAACAATACCTTGCCTAATCTTAGGTTCTTCCATATGACTTCTTGCAAGATAAAGGAATTCCCTGATTTCTTTAAAGCCTTAGAGAATGTCGAACAACTAGACATTTCCAACAATGAAATTCGTGGGAAGATTCCAAGATGGGTTGGCGTCATCGGGAAGGCTTCATTGCGGTACTTGAATCTTTCCCACAACTTTCTAACAGGTATAAACCAATTTCCTTGGAAGAATCTTCACGCTCTTGATCTTCGTTCCAACTTGATTCATGGACAACTTCCAGCTCCACCACTCTCTGTATCTTACTTCCTCTTCTCACAAAATAAGCTTACAGGAGAAATTCCTTCTTCAATTTGCAATGTGAGTTCCCTTTCCATCCTTGACTTGTCTCACAACAACTTGAGTGGTGCAATTCCACAATGTTTGGGATACTTCAGCAACGTTCTATTTGTACTAGATCTGCAGTTCAATGCCTTTCAGGGGAACATCCCCATGATATTTGGAAAGGGTAATCAGTTGGAAATTCTTAATTTGAATGGAAATCAGTTTGAAGGACCAGTTCCGCAATCCTTAACCAATTGTAGACAGTTAAAAGTTCTAGACCTCGGAAACAACAAGATAAATGACACTTTTCCATACTGGTTGAGGACACTTCCAGAGTTACGGGTTCTTGTCTTGCGATCCAACAAATTTCATGGTCCAATAGACAATTCCAAGCCAAACCCCTCTTTTCCCAAACTCCGAATTGTTGACCTCTCCCACAATAAGTTCACTGGTCATTTGCCAGAGAGATATTTCAATTTTTTCAAAAATATGAGGAATAAAACTATGCCAAATGAAAAATATTTGAGTGTTCACTCGTATTATCAAGATTCTGTTACGGTGACGATGAAGGGGTTTGATATTTACTTAACGAGAATTTTGATTGTCTTCACAGCAATTGATTTATCATCTAACAAATTTAGTGGAGATATTCCAAATGTGATCGGAAGGCTTAATTCTCTCATAGTGCTTAATTTATCTCATAATAGCCTTACGGGCCGTATTCCATCATCTTTAGGAGACTTGACAGAGCTTGAATCACTGGACCTCTCTTCAAACCAGCTTATTGGGAAAATTCCTAACCAATTAAAGTGTTTGACATTTCTTGAGGTCTTTAACCTTTCATGGAACCATCTCGATGGACCCATACCGCAAGGTGAACAATTTGATACATTTGGAAATGATTCATATGTTGGGAACTCCGGATTATGTGGGTTTCCATTGTCAAAGGAATGTAAAGATAATCAATCACAAGTTCAGCCAGGGGTGCTATTACAACAGGAAGATGACTCGAATTTTGTAAGTGGATTTACTTGGGAAGCCGTGGTGATGGGGTATGGCTGTGGACTGCCATTGGGATTGGCTATTGGATTTCTCATGTTCTTAACTGGAAAACCAAAATTGTTTGTAAGAATTGTTGAAGGGAAAAAGCATAAAAAGCTGAAAATGTTGAGACAAGGTGGTAGAAGAAATTAGCAAACATGGATTATGCTTTCAGGTAAGTGATGCTCATTCTTAGTTTTAATGATATTAATTTGTTAGTTATCATGATTGTATTATACTCTCTGGTACTACTAGTTTTTTTTCTGGTTCTATATCTTTAAAAGTTTACGACCTAATTACAGAATAAGTAAAAGGTTATTATATATATTCTGCTTGGGATCCTGCCTAATGCAGATACAGTTCTTTTTGTGCAAGAGTAACACTATGAGCAATCCACTCAAGAACCAGCAGTTATACATATAGAATTGTTTCATTGACCACAACCAAAACCAAAATAAAGAATATGTTTTTCTGTGATTAGCTATTAAACCGTTGCTAATGTTAATGAAGTTAGTTTCAAAAGCTAGTTTTGTACTGAAATAAACTACATGATTGGATTTTCTATTGGTCAATCTTGATATATTTTGCCAAATAGTTTAAATAGATTATTACAATTTTGTTTTCTTCAATTTATGCTATACATCCAGATCATCTTTATAATTGATTCGCTGCAAAATTTTGTCTGGTGACTTTGGAAATCTTCATAGTTCACCTTTAGAAGTAGCCAATCTTCATAGACCAATAATTCACCTCATTTTCCACCTCATGTATTACATGCATAAAATATTTGAATGAAAAGAGGTGTGATCTATTTTTTTTTTTTTTTTTTTTTTTTCTTTTTGTTTTTATAAATTTATTCTACATAGAGTCAAATTAAGGTGATTCCATTTACATCCAAATAGTACACTTAACTAAAATTTTGAAATTTTAGTTTTTATTATATAATAGAAACTAAAATTTCAAATTTTCTATTAGAGTATATATACCCTAATATAAATTTACTAATCAAGACAATACACATTCAACTCTAATTTTTTTTTTCCTCATGGTGTACCCTAATCACTAATATATATTCTTCATATTCAAACATTTTCGTCTTCTTCCTTAAATTTCAATTATTTTCCCTTCATCTTTTTCTTCACTCCAAAACTCTAACCCACCCCACAAAAACTCACCATTATCATCAACATTATTGTTTCTTCTCCTCTCTTTCTCTCTACAAACTCACAAACCTTCTATCTCTCTTCAATCTGCAATTGGAATGGATTCTCTTAACCAGAAATTTCAACAAAAGTTGATGAATATATCAATGAATCAAACTCAAAACCAGATTCAAAATAACAACAATTAACACAGTTTTCCAAAATGGGTAGGTAAGCAAACATTATGTAGAAGAAGAGAGGCCGAAGAGAGGGTTTTCCCTGAGAGGCTCGAACGAGAATCTATCAAGAAATTTGGCAACACAAACCCCTTCAAAACCAAAATTATTTTTAGGGCAATTGTTGACGAACATGATAGGAATGAGCATACCTACGTTAGACACCACAATCAGTGGAACCAACAAAGTCCACATCATCTCTATTGAATCTAGATAGTATGAAGGCAAGTAATGACTTGGTGGGTTTGTATTGCCTCTATTCTTCTTACCTACTTTTCATCTTTTTCTTCTTCAGTATTTGTCAATGACGAGAGTGTACTATAGCTAATATGAGATGAAGAAAGGGAGGAAGTCTTTTTTGAATTGATTTGTTTATTATTTGAGTGTATCACAAATTATGATATCATCCTAAAGGATAATTTGTGATAAAATATAGGACGTACTGAGAGTAAATTATTACCCTAAATAATTTAATAGAGAGTATTGAGAAATTGCGCATACTGAATAATTTTTTTAAGTGCAAATAGAATCACTCACTCAGATATAACATATTGAATAATTTTTTGGATGCAAATAGAATCACCCATTCAAATATGAGTATTGATTACAAGTAGATGTAGCAAACTAAACCGAAACCCATGATGAGTCTATCCAATTATACTCATTTAAAACTTATATAGATCTGCTCAATCAATAAATAGGCTTAAATGGGTTGCTTATTGTCAATCCAGTTAAAATTGGGTTTACATGGATTGGACATGAGTACCCATTTAAGCCAATGTAAATAGGCACCACTTCTACCACCAATCTACCTCCACTACTGCCACTTCACGAGCATCACCACCATCACCACTCCACCACCACCACCCTCTTTGTTATCACTGCTAATCCGCCACCAACGCCGACACACCACCCCCACTCCCACTCTACCACCCTCGCCACTCCATCACCACCTCATCTCCACTACTACTACACCACTACCTTTATTACTCCACCACCACTACCATGACCACCATCTCTTCATCCTCTACTACCACCACTCCACCACCACCACCACTCCTGCCACTCCACTACCGCCGTCAACACACCACCAACACCACCTCCTCCTCCACTACTACCGCCACCACCATTTCCGCCACCATCGCTACACCATCACCATTACCATCACCACCACCACTACTCTACCACCACCACTTGTGCTCCGACACTCCCTTTGTCGTCGTAAAAAAATAATTTCAAAATAAAAAATAATTTATTTTTAAAAAAAAAAAGTAATTTTTGAAAAAAAATAAAAATAAAAAAAATAAAGTAATTTGTTTAAAATAAGGGCACTTGGTCTATAAATCCAAATTTAGTTTTGTTTGGCGAAAAGTGCACACTCTAAAATACTTTGGCAATAAAGACATGTTTAGGTGAAATGACCAAAACACCCGTATATATATATTGTATCTCATCTCTCTACAACTATTCCTCTATCTCTCTCTCTCTAAATATAACGTCTGTGAACCACCGCCTCTCAATCCTCTCTGATCTCAGTCCTCACACCCTCTTCATCCATCGCCATTCGTTGCCACTAACCACACCGTAGAATCTCTCTCTCTCTCTCTCTCATTTAGATCTTAGATCTTAGATCTCTCTCTCTCTCTCTTAGTCTTCTCAAATCTCAGACCTCACACCCTCCTCTTTCATTGTCCTTATCCATCATCCACCGCCATCCACCACCGCTGACCACATCGTTGGTATCTATTAAAAAAAGAGTGTGCAACACACAACAAAAGTATAAAAATAAAGTCAAACTCTCTCTCTCTCTCTCTCTCTCTCTCTCTCTCACACACACACACACACACATTCCTTTCGAATAATTTTCTTATTTCATGGTGAGAAATCTTGGGTTTGCAAATAACAAAGAACATTCGAGTATTCTCTATTTGAGTCCAATACACAAGATTAGAAAAATGATTTCATGGTGAGAAATCTAGGGTTTGATGGTACATTGGTACATAGCACAAATTTGTTTGTTTGTATGAGTCTGATATTTTGATTTGAGACTAAGATCTGATATTTTGATCTTGGTTGACTAAGATCTGATATTTTAAAATGGATGTTCAAAATTAGAGCTTTTGATCTTGAGCGACTCAGATTTGTTAAAATGGATTGCTCAAAATTGTTATTAACTCAGACTTGTTACAATGGATGAATAACTATTTAAATTTTTTTTTATCTTATATTTAATTTTTTTTTGTTATTTTTTATCTTGGTTGTTGTTGTTGTTGTAATTATATCTGTTTAAATTTTTTTTTTTCTTTTTTTGTTTGTGCTATGAAGAAGATGATATTGAACATATCACAAACACAGATATGTTTGAAGTGAACAAATAGTTTTCAATTTGGTCTTGTGTTCTTTAATCAGTGAATAGATAAAAAAAAAAATTGTTGTTGTTGTTGAATTTGAATTTGAACTTTATTTGTACAGATAGTGGGAAGAGAGATATGGAGAATTTGAATAGATAAATTTTTTAACAAATAATTTCAACCGAAAGAATTTTTTAAAAAGATAATTTGAACAAATAGAATCTCAACAGATAGGAATTTCAACCAATAGAATTTTTTGAAAAGATATTTTTAACAGATAATAAAATGTGGACAGATATTTGAACAGATAAGGGCAAAAAATTGAACAAATATTCAAAAAATTAAACAGATAAAAAAAATATTTGAACAAATAGTCAAAAAAATTAAACAGATAGGTAAAGGGTAAAATTGAAAATAAAATGTCTTCTAAAACAATAAAAGGATTTCTCATCAAATTATTTCATAAATTGTGGATCTCTCACCAACAAAAGATATCCACTAGACCCAATGCCTTATATCCTCTTTAGATTGGACTTTTTAATAATATTCTCTTAAAATAATTTTTTTAAAAAAAAAATAGAAAAATAAAAGCAAGGAAGTAAATGAGTTTGTTGGATTCATTCGTCTAACCCGTATCTAATTTCACTCAACCTGTTTGAGCCCATTTATTAAATGAATGGGTTTGGTTAGATTGCTTTATATGCATAACCTATTTTAACCCACTTATAACCACCCATTTGCCACCTCTAATTACGAGGATGTGTCCATTGGGTAAATTACAAATAGACCCTTTAAATTTTGATTAAAATATAAATTATCTTTTGTAATTTTAAAAATTACATCATGTCCCTTCAGCTTTTTAATCGCATAATAAATGACACTTTTATTAATAAATTATCAAGTTAATTAACAGTTTTTAATAATATCATAAATATATTCAAATTAACAATTCAGTTAATTTTATTCGGATAGGAGAACAGTTAAAATTTTTATTTTTCTATTAATTCTGTTAAATAAAAAATTCTAATAATAAAATATTTAAAATTTTTAAAATTACAGAAGACAATCCGTATTATAAATAAGCCTCATGGGATGTATTATAATTCACCCAATTAGATTTAGGCATAGTTTAGTTTCATAGTTAACTCTTTTACTTAAAAATATTTATTGATTGCAGATTTAACTAAATGTGTTGCACTCATGTCTCCTACCTTAACCAAACTGTCAATTGCATAGATATTTCACATATTTAGAATAGTTCATTGGGAAATTTTAATATACACACCTTTGAAAGGGTGTACCATATTCATACACACATTTGAAAGGGTGTACCATATTCATCCTTACTTATAACGTTTTCTTTTTTAATTATGATATTATTTTAATTATAACTCATGAGATATTTAGTCATATTTATTTTCTTTAGTTATAAATCAGAAAATATAA